TAGATTGGGGAATAACTACAAGTTATTTTCCAAATTTTAGATCCAATCCAATGGATAGATTATCTAATGATCATCAAAGCAATGCTCTCATGGATAGTAAAAGGCTTTCGATGGAGCAAATATTTTACTTTCTGGATCTCCAGCACTGTTGGTTGGCGAGAACGAGAACATTTTTTCCAACCATACCAGATTTGGTATCTTAAAGAAACTGAAGATTTTAAATTTGAAGATGATTATTTAGATGAAGATCACCGGAGAGAGCGATTGAAAAATATCCAAAAACTTTCTTTGACAGAATATTGGATAGACAGTCTAATATCTGTTTCACAAGCAACGTCCAACATTCATGGCTCAGCAAAATTACCATTCATGGTTACAAATGGTTGAATATTATTTGTAACCCATTTTCCTATAACATATCAAAAATCTCCTACACAAATTAATGAGGCTCTTGACATGTTAATAAATCTCAAAAAAAGAAATAATTTGGATCTTCCGTTGGAACTAGCCATGACCGCGGATGATGTAGAACATTTCCGGAATGAGCAATACAGCCAAGATCGGATTCCCCTCCATCAAAGACTGATGAAGAATATCACAATCTCATCAACAGGATGGAAGCATAGTGGACCCCACTATCAAATGCGATTGTCTCCTGATCGACTCCAACCTTATCTAGGGCACGTGGAGCAACCTGCATTATTAGGCGGAAAGTGATCAGCCACATCATTTCAGCCGACACTACATGACAGAGCAGCTCAGCCAAAGCTTATCTACAACAATCTATCTCTTTGAAAATCGGAGAGGGTAGACAAAAAGAGTTATTGAAGTTTACAATCAAGTGACCAATCATAAGTTACCACATTGCTTGGATGAATTGGAGGAATATATTTTTCCCACCATCGCCATGAAAACAGACAAGTACTTGGAGCAAACCACAGAATTATAGTAAGGGTTTTTATAAATTATTTTTGGATAGATTTTCGTTTGTCTTTATTTTTATTTTAATCTTTTTTCTATTTATGTTTTTTAGATAAATCAAGATTAGAAGAATCTATAAAGTAAAAAGTTTTAACTAAACTATTAAAAAAAATTCACTAAAAACAAACGAAAATTTGAACAAAAATGTACACAGATTTTTGATTTAATTATTATTTGTTTTTAGTAATTTTTTTTAAATATTTTAATTCAATTTATTGTACGTTTTAGATGCTAGTAACTTACTGATAAATCTAATCTAAGGAAGTCGTAAGACATGAGGTCTAGTAGATTTTTTTTTATTAGTGAGAGATCTATCATTTGTGAAATAATTTAGTGAGAAGTCATTTTTCTTGTTTTAAAAAATATTTTATTTTCAATTTTACCTCATAATTTATCTGTTGACTTTTTTTTTATTTGTTAATTTTTGTTGACTATCTGTTTGAAAGTTGCTTCATAAAAAATATTGATTTCATGTCCTTAATGTATATGTATATATTAGATTGCTTCTGTAATCTTGAATTATTTTATTTCAAACAAAGTCAAAGAGGATGAAATAGTGAAAAATAAAAAAAATACTATAATTTAGGTCCTTTACTCTAATGACCTTTTTGACTAGAATAATTTCTACATATATTAATTAATACACTAACTAATGTATCAATCATGTCCTTAATGTATATGTATATACCAGATTGCTTCTGTAATCTTGAATTATTTTATTTCAAACAAAGTCAAAGAGGATGAAATAGTGAAAAATAAAAAAAATACTATAATTTAGGTCCTTTACTCTAATGACCTTTTTTACTAGAATAATTTCTACATGTACTAATTAATACACTAATTAGTGTATCAATTAATGATGTGATATAATTTAAGATATTTTTTATATTTATAATTTATATAATAAGTGAGATCAATAATAATATCATAACTAATATTTATATACTAATTAGTGCATGTAGCACCACCGTTAAACAAAAATGTCTTTCAGGTTTCAATTGATTGGTAACTGCCCAACTGTGTCGGCCTATGTCGATTCTCTCTCTCAATTATGTCAGCCACTAGTGATTCTCTCTAAACCTGAAATGCTTAAATTTATATGAAATGATAAGCAAAATTTATATAAAACAATAAGCAAAATTGAATTGATTTTCAACTACAGATCTGATTCGACAATACTGTGTGAAGATCATATTCAAACAAAAATCAAAAGGATTTTAAGTGTATCTTCCTCTTCCTTGTGTATCGTTGATGTAGTCGTTGAAATCGAAGGTGTACCTAACATTCCAGCGGTGGTGGCTCCGCCAAGTGTCACTCATATCATTGATGCAGTCGTTGAAATCGAAGGTGTACCTAATATTCCAGCGGTGGTCGCTCCGCCAAGCGTTACTCACCGGCTCAGCGACAACACAACGTGCGAGATTTGTCTTTGACCTTCGTGATCTAAGATAGACCTTCAAGTAAGCCTTCTAGTTAGATACAGACCTCTTTGCTTGATCTTTGCCGAAGTCACTATGAAAGGTTGTGTTCGCTTCAATGAAGCGATGAGAGTCACCGAAGATTGACGGAGTGAGATGAAGTAATTTGAGAGAGAGAGAGAGAGGAGCGGTGGGAGAAGAGTGAGAGAGAGAGAACACGGTTTGATTTGGTTAGGGTTTGGAAACTATATATATAGGGGTAATTTGGTCATTTTGTGAAAATATATCCTTATAAACAAAATATTTTAAAATTAAATTTATGGACCGAGTTCTTTAAATGCATATTGATTAGGTATATTAAAAAGTTAAAAAAAATAATAATAATAATTAAAATATAAAAAAATACTAAAAATAGATGACAACTCAACTAAAAATAAAAGGGCAAATTACCTACATCTCCCTTGAGATTTAACGAAATTACAGACTCCTGAGGTTTTAAAAATTACATCTCGTCCCATCGCAATTAACATTGTTAACGGATATCATAAATTGACTGAAATGCCCTTTTGACAAATAAGGGCAAATTACCTACACTCCTTTGAAGTTTAGCTAAATTACAGATTCTCCTGAGGTTTAGCTAAATTATCATTTTTAAATAAGTTATGAAATGCAAAATTAAAACGAAAAAACACTTATCACACTACAAAAAATTAAGGTTTTAGAGACCAAAATTTAAGGACAAAATTATTTTTAAGAGACCAAATATTTTTGTTGTGAAAAGTGTCGTCATTATATTTTTAGTAATGAAAATTGCACATTAGTGATTAATTATTATCTTTTTGGTATCAAGAGAGAGAGGAGCGGTGGGAGAAGAGTGAGAGAGAGAGAACACGGTTTGATTTGGTTAGGGTTTGGAAACTATATATATAGAGGTAATTTGGTCATTTTGTGAAAATATATCCTTATAAATAAAATATTTTAGAATCTGAACTTTTAAACAAAGAAAATTTAAAATTAAATTTATGGATCGAGTTCTTTAAATGCATATTGATTAGGTATATTAAAAAGTTAAAAAAAATAATAATAATAATTAAAATGTAAAAAAATACTAAAAATAGATGACAACTCAACTAAAAATAAAAGGGCAAATTACCTACATCTCCCTTGAGATTTAATGAAATTACACACTCCTAAGGTTTTAAAAATTACATCTCGTCCCATCGCAATTAACGTTGTTAACGGATATCATAAATTGACTGAAATGCCCTTTTGACAAATAAGGGCAAATTACCTACACTCCCTTGAGGTTTAGCTAAATTATAGATTTCTTCATGAGATTTAGCTAAATTACAGATTCCCCTTGAGGTTTAGCTAAATTATCATTTTAAAATAAGTTATGAAATGTAAAATTAAAATGGAAAAACATTGCACTACAACAAATTAAGGTTTTAGATGCCAAAATTTATGGACAAAATTATTTTTAGGGAACCAAATATTTTTGTTGCAAAAAGTGTCATTTTATTTTTAGCAACAAAATTGAATATTAGTGATTAATTATTATCTTTTTGGTATCAAATTTTTTGTCTAAAAAAAAAAATCATTTTGAAACCAAATTATTTTGTCCCTAAAAGTTTATTTATTATTGACATTTTCAAAATTTTATCGCTAAAAGCTTTATTTTGGACTTTTCAAGACAACCTTTTAGCTATTATCCTCGCGACGATAGAAATTACTCTCTAAATGTCTTTTGCAACAAAATTTTCACTTTTAGAGATCAACAAAATTAGTCTCCAAAACTCTTACTCCCTCTGTCCCAAAATAATGGTCTCTTTTAGGGAATTCAACTTTTTTTGATAGTGCAATTACTGCATTTGAAAAAAGTTGATTTTCCAAAATTACCTTTTTGATAGTACATTTTTTGGGAATATCAATGTCATAATTGTACTTTTTATATTGTTTATTAATTTAAAAGAAGGGTAAAAAAGAAAATTTATATTATTTTTGTACTTGATTTTTGAAGATGGACTAATATTTTGGGACAATGAAAAATAGAATAAGGGATAAATATTTTGGGACGGAGTGAGTATATGTTGTAGTATTAGATGGTGAAAATATCATAAAATTAATAAATAATTAAATAAGTTAAAAACAAAAGAAATGACTTGTCTAAAATTTTTTAGAATATGTTTGATTTGATTTTTAGAAATTTATTTTTAATTTTTTAAAAAAATTAAAATTAATTTGGTTAAGAAATAAAAAATAAAAAATAAAAATTATTTTTGTATAATTCTATCTTTTGAGTGGTTAGAAATAATTTTTACAAATTAAATATATTTTTTTATATTTATTTTTATTAAATTATTTTTATTTTTTAAAAAATTTTGAATTTTTTTTTCTAAACAATAAATCAAAAAAACTTTTAATTTTTTTTTTCAACTAACGTAATTCTTTTGTAAATTTTGTTAGTTTATCAAAGTGATTTCAACAGGGACAATATTATCTATTAATTTATATTTTGGTACAGTTAGCCAATCATTCTTAACATTTAGGTCACAATAAAAATTAAATTTTTATATAAATATAAACTTCGAGCGGAATATAATTTCTAAAATCAAAGAAAATATTCAAATAAATGTCAAGGGAGGCGTAGGGAATTTGCCCAAAACAAAAACAGTAAAGATACTCATTAAACGGTTGAAAGTCATTAACCATTTTTGTTTAATCTATTGACTTGGAAGCTTGTTTGCCTCTCAGTCAACTCCCTTCTCTCTCTCAATGGGGGACGCAGTTCTGTCGGCGTTCATGCAGGTGGTGTTCCAACAGTTGGCATCTCCGTTGGTGGAGGAATTCGGACTCCTCTACAACATGGAGAGACACCTCAAGAAGCTCTCCAGATTGCTGACCAGAGCTCGAGCTGTGATTTGCGATGCCGAGCAGAGGCAATCAACAGAGCAGGCAGTCGCGATTTGGTTAACCGATCTCAAAGACGTCGCTTACGACGCCGATAACATCCTTGACGAGATGTCCACTCAAGTCCTCCTCTCCAAATTCCAGGTGTCTAGATCCAAACTATGTTTCCAAAATATATTTTTTTCAAGGGAAATCAGGTAAGGTTCTGTTTAATGCAGATCACTTCATATTTAAAAAATTATACTTATTTTTTATTAGATTAAAATGATATATTTATCTGTTAATTTTTATACATATAAAATAATAAAATAATATATATGTTTTGTTCATGCCATTTTAAGAAAAATAATAATCATTTTTCTTAGTTTAACTTACACAAAAAAAATTGAGTTTTTTCTTTTTCATGTTTTTTTTAACCGATTTTTTTTTAAAAATATTTTAGATATATCTAATCTAGATAGATATAGTTAAGAAGTATAATATTTTGTGTTTTTTTTTTTTTAAATTCATCAAATATAAAAAAATAAAAAAATTTACTACATTATCTTATTTTGTTGTATTCAATGATTTTTTGAATTTTTTTTGGGGTACAAATTTTGTATTTTTTAAATATATTTAAATTAAATTGATCTAATCTAGTTATAATGGTGGAAATAAAAATGAAAAATTATATTCATATATAAAAATTTATACAAAAAATATCATAAACATATTGTGATAGTTATATTGTTGTGAATATATTGTGATAGTAATATTGTTGTAAATATAAATCATGTTTGTGGGTATTTTGTTTTAAAGTGAAATGTCACCATTAAACTATATCATTGTGTTTGAAAATTTTACAGTATATAAAATTTATATTTGTATATCATCACTCAATAAAAATATATTTAAATAGAATTTAATGATGAAAAATTATAAAATGTAATGATAATGATAGAAAGAAGAAATAGTAAAAAAAATGACAAGATGATCATTTAATAAATTTTAGGACATAATATCAATAATGTATGAGGCAATTTGTAATGAGAGAGAATTTGTATTAATTTTTCAAATGTGAAAAGAGTTTTGTATTAAACAAAAATCTAGGTGTCAAGTGTAATTTAACTCTTTTTGAATTTGAAAATCTTCTTCTCATACCAACCAACGTGGGTTACGACATGCTAGTTGGTGTAAAATTACTCAAGCAGTTGATTTCTATTCAAAATAAAAATTTAGATATCGGGAATATTAATTGCCATTTTGTTTTAATTTTATTTATTTGAATTGCAACGGTCAGTGTGGTATAGTTTGGAGATTTTTCCTAGTAAAGTAAAATGTAAGACTTTGTTAGGATCATAATTAAGACTGGTTTGAAATACTCCCTCCGTCCCAAAATAATGGTCCTTTTTGGGGAATCTAACTTTTTTTGGTAGTACAATTATTGTACTTTTAAAAAGTTGGTTTTCCAAAATTACCCTTTGATAGTACACTTTTTAATGTGAAAAGAGATTTGTATTAAACAAAAATCTAGGTGTCAAGTGTAATTTAACTCTTTTTGAATTTGAAAATCTTATTCTCATACCAACCAACGTGGGTTACGACATGCTAGTTGGTGTAAAATTACTCAAGCAGTTGATTTCTATTCAAAATAAAAATTTAGATATCGGGAATATTAATTGCCATTTTGTTTTAATTTTATTTATTTGAATTGCAACGGTCAGTATGGTATAGTTTGGAGATTTTTCCTAGTAAAGTAAAATGTAAGACTTTGTTAGGATCATAATTAAGACTCGTTTGAAATATGTTATTTTAGTAATTTTTTAACTTTTTACGAAAAGATATATATAAAAGTAAAAAGAGTAATGTGATAATTTATAATAACTTTTTGACTAAAACAAAATGTTGCCAAAGGAAAAGAGAAAATGTATATGAAATGTTTATGGGTGCTTTTGGAAATTAGTTAAAAGCTGATCTTTGGCTTTTTTAACTTTTTTGTCTTTTAGTGAGTATAAAATGTAAAAAGTGATGTGACCCAAAATGGGTTGTTTTTAACCAGCTTTCCAAATGAGCTCATAATTATATTTCCTTCACATTTTATACTTTTTTGTCTCCTTTTCATTAGGAGTTGTTTGGGATGTGCTATATAAGTACACTTTTTGGCTAAAAAAGTAGAGAAAAAAATGTATGTTTGAAAAAACTTTTTGACTTTTTACGTAATGATGTGTAACAAAATATTGTAGTAAAATCAAGGGCAAATTACAAACACTCCCTCGAGGTTTGATAAAAATACAGATTCCCCATGAGGTTTGAGAAATTACAAATTGCCCCATGAGGGTCAAATTTTCATAACAAATTAGGAGAAATTATAAGGGAATCTGTATGAAAATAAAAACCTCAGGGACAATTTGTTATGAAAATATCAACCTCAGGGGACGAGATGTAATTTCTCAAACCTTAGGGGAGAATCTGTATTTTCACCAAACCTCGAGAGAGGTGTTTGTAATTTGCCCTAAAATCAAAATGGCTATTCTACCGTTGTTGACTTTTTGACTTTTTGGTAGTTGAATTCATCTCTAGCCCCACGAGCTTCCCCAAATAATATAGATTTTTTGACTTTTGTAGGGAAGCCTATTATTTTGCCCTTTGAATTCAACTACCCAAAAGCCAAAAAGGATAGAATGGTCATTTTGATTTTATTACAATATTTTATTACGCATATTTTCGTAACAAGTCAAAAAGTTATCCTAAACATACATCTTTTTTTATCTACTTTTTTAGCCAAAAAGTCAAAAAGTGCACTTATATAGCGCATCCCAAACAAATATGTTGGATCAAAACTCTCTCATAATAAAACTTTAATATATTAAGAACAAGTACAAAAAGTTTTCCTAAAAAAGTTGAATACATACTACTATTACCAAAATATTAAACTTTAAAACAATATAACTTTTCATGTAAATGCCGATTTTTAATAAAATTAATATTTTTAGAATTATTTCATCAAGATCTATCAAAAAAGATCCATGTTGATTATAAAATTCTTTTTTAAAAAAAAAGTATTACTGTCAAAATCGATGTAGACAGTAACATGTTACTTTGGTTCACAGTAACATGTTATTCTGGTAATATTGTTTAAGAAAAATATATATATATATATATATTTTACTTCACCTTTACTCAATTATGCACTTCTTTCTTAAAGGGTTTATGAAACAAAATAAATTAGACTGTCCTTTTCACTAAACAAAGGTCTAATGGAGGAATTTTGGCTAAATTTTTTTGTTTTTTTTGGTTTAATTCGTTAGTATTATGTTGTAAATGTTGTAATCATGTAAATTATGACACCACTTTCTTTCCATTTTAGTCAATTTAATTTAATCATGCTATTTTTTGCACTACAAGGTACCTGGATTCTTCTCTTCCATCAATCCAAAACAAGTCTTCCTTCAAATTGATCTTGCACTGAGGATAGATGAGGTAATTGGGAAGTTGGAAGACATAGCACAAGAGAGAGAGGATCTCCATCTGAAGGAAGGAATTGTATCTGGGAACTATAATAATAAAGAGAGGTTGCAGACAAGTTCTTTGATTGATGAGTTCTCTGTGTTTGGAAGAAGTGATGACAGAGAGGAAATCGTTTCGCTGCTGATGTTGGATGATTCTAGAGGTTGTAAATTGTCAATTATTCCCATTGTTGGAATTGGAGGATTAGGGAAAACAACACTTGCCCAACTCGTTTACAATGATTGGAGAGTTGAGAAGCATTTTGAACTAAGAATGTGGGTGTGTGCGCCCCAAGATTTCAATCCAAGAGTTATTACGAAAGCAATCATAGAGTCCGCAACTGGGGCTAGATGTGATCTCCTAGACATGGATCCAATGCAGCGGCGCCTCCAAGAGGTGATTAAGGACAAAAAATACTTTCTTGTGTTGGATGATGTTTGGAATGAGAACCGCAATGATTGGGAAGTTCTGCAGGTTCCTTTTAGTATTGGGGCAAATGGAAGTAAAATTATTGTAACCACCAGAAGTAAAATAGTTTCATCGATGATGGGCACGACCCCAGCATATCATTTGAAGGATTTATCAAATAAGGATTGCTGGTCACTTTTCCAAAAATGCGCATTCCAGTGCACGGTCTCAGATGCGCCTCAGAATTTAGTGAAAATAGGGAAGAAAATTGTTCACAAGTATCAAGGGTTGCCTTTAGCTGTTAAGGCACTTGGTAGTCATCTGAACTCCGTCACTGATGAAAACGAATGGGATATTGTCTTGAAAAGTGAATTGTCGGACTTACCAAAAGACAAGGATAGCATTTTGCCTACTTTGAAATTGAGTTATAATCATTTGCCGAGTCATTTGAAGCAGTGCTTTGTCTATTGCTCGCTTTTTCATAGGGATCACATATACGAGAAAGAGAGTTTAATTCAGTTATGGATGGGAGAGGGGTTTCTTCAGACTAGAGGACTGAAACAAATGGAAGAGGTTGGCAGGGATCATTTCCATGAGCTTCAGTTAAGGTCATTCTTTTATTTCTCGCACAGTGATCCGTTGGATGGTCAACCCAAGTACAAAATGCACGGTCTTATTCACGATTTGTCTCGATTTGTCAATGGAGGTGAATATTATGCTACAAGCAGTGGTAAGATAGGACTCATCCCCAGGAAAGCTCGTCATGTCTCCTTGCAATGTGATCATCCAGAGCCGGTAGATTTTGAAATCTTCAATGGATGCAAAACTCTGAGAACTTTGCTGCTGTTGGGTAGATACAGATACCATATTAAGCAAATTCCTCTGGACTTATTCCTTCAGTTGAAATGCTTACGCGAGTTGGATCTCAGCCATACTAGCATTACTGAGTTGCCAAATACTATTGGAGAGCTAAAGCATTTGCGGTATCTGGATCTCTCATGGAGCCACATAAGGAGGCTGCCTGAATCTACAAGTGACCTATGCAACCTACAAACACTGAAACTGATGAAATGCCTCGAGCTTCATGCACTTCCAGAGAAGATGAGCAATCTAGAGAACCTACGCCATCTAAACATTTCCTTCAGTACAGCTCTGCTGAAGATCCTTCCCTTTGCTGATAGAAGACTTCTCGACTTGCCAAAATGCATCAAGAACCTTATCAACCTTCGTGATATTGACACTACTTTCAGCATGAGTTTGCAGTATATTCTTCCCTTTGTGGAAAGAGAATCTCATTCGAATTCCCTCTCTCGACTAATTTCCACCCCTCCAGGGTTGGGGAAACTAACAAAGCTCCAAACACTGTCCAATTTCGTTGTAACCAAGAGGACTGGATGTGGAGTTGAGGAGTTAAAGGGTATGGCAAATCTCCAAGGATCACTTTGTATTTCGAAACTGGAGAATGTAATGTGTGCGGAAAAGGCCAAGGAGGCTGATTTGAAGAGCAAGCATCGCCTGCAGGAGTTGACATTACGGTGGAGTGAAGAGAATATCTTGGATTTGAGGAATGGGGTAAAGGAGGAGGCGGTAATCGAGTGTCTTCATCCTAACAAGAAAATCAATGTTCTGACGATTGAAAATTTTGGAGGTAAAAAGTTCCCAAGTTGGATAGAGAATGGTTCACTATCTAATTTAGTTTCTATTTGCATCATTAATTGTCAAAAGTGTCAAACCCTCCCCAAATTGTGGCAGCTTCCATTCCTGAAAGATGTCAAAATCCATGGAATTCATGGTCTGAAACATATAGGGCGCGAGTTTTATGGGGAAGGTGGAGTTGGATTCCCATCGCTAGAAATTCTGGAAATGAAGGACATCCCTAATCTGGCCTACTGGGCTGGAGCCGAGGCAGGTGAAATCCCTTGCCTTCGTGAACTTACCATTTGGGATTGTCCAATGATGATCGAGCTTCCAAACCTCCCATGTACGCTTACAACTTTAGAAATAGTCAACTGCAGGGGATTGAAATCTTTTCCAATGCTCCATTCTATCCAAAACTTGATATTTGGCCAATGTGCTGAGGTGATACTGAATTCATTGACTTGCTGCTTCACATTTATTTCCTCTTTAACTGTTTCTACATTTACCCAGCTAAGAAATCTTCCCGATGGGCCACTGCAAAACCTAACATCACTCAGAGAACTTAAGTTTATCGACTGTGATGAACTCGCCTTTTTGACTCAGGATCAAAGTTTGGGCAAGCTCAGTTCACTTGAATATTTGGAAATTTGCTGTTGTCCCAAGATTACGTCATTGAAGGATGAGAATTTGCCGAACACGCTCAAATCATTGCGTATTGTATCGTGTCCATCTTTCACATCGCTTCCCGATGAGATCCAGAACCTCAGTGCCCTCGAAATTTTGGAAATATGTAATTGCCCACAACTCTCTAAGTTGCCTGAAAGAGAGATGCCAGCTGCACTTCAACTTTTCTGGGTAACGAGATGTCCTGTTTTGAAGGCACGCTGTCAAGATGAAGGTGAAGATTGGCCGAAAATATCGCATATTCCCAACATAAGGATTGATTTGGAATGGATTCAACAGAATTGAATATGTTTGTCATCAGAGTGGACTATTTAGGTATGAAATGGCTCATCTTAGATTCTATCTTTTTCATCTTTTTTTAATTTTTAATTTTTTATCCATTTGTTATTTGATCCAGTCTTAAAACCAAAGTTTATACTGTTCATGTCTGTTAGATTGGAAGGCAGCTTTTGGAACCATCATTGCTAGAAGAAATATGTTGAAGTCATTGCAGGTTGAACCAAGAAATATGTTCATGTCTGCACTTCAATTCAGAAACTGTACTTCAATGCTTGTGAAGAAGCCTTAGAAAGTGGGAAAATCGTTGGCTTTGATGAAAGGGAAATGCTAAAAGCCGCGCAGACTGTTGGATAATCTTATTATGTGTGTAAAAAATGTATTTAAAAAATATATATAAAATGTATTGAAATATATAAAATATGAAAAATGTGAATTGAAATTTTAAATTATTTTTTGTTATTATTTACAATTTAACCAACGCCCTACGGGCAGTGGTTAACAAGAAACATAATGAAATGCCTGTAAAAAATTATTGATCCTATTAGAGCAGCTCTAGTGGCAATGTATTTTTTTGGTTGAATTTTGGTTAAATAGTGTAGTATTTTTTGTGCTGCTATTTTTTTAATCTTCTACCATCAACCACCATTATTTAATCACTATTTTCTTGATAATGCTTCAATTCATTAATTTAAGTCAAAATTACAAATAAATAAAGAAAAGTTAGTGATCCGATTAGTCCCAAGAGTTTTCTTATATACCAATTAGTTTCATCAATTTTGGAAAAGTAGATTTAATATATTATTTAAAAATTAAATTTACGGTTATACCTTTATTTCTATTATGTTTTTTTTTTTTTTTTGCTAGAAAGATAAGATACACAATATATAAGAATCAAATTTCGGATGAATTTTTATATGGGAATCTTTTTATTTGGAATAACGTGAAATATGAGATTTTTTAAACATTCTAAAAGGATGTGAAATTCTTCAAATATTTCAAAATAAGTACAAAAATTGTTACCAAGCTTTGAGCAAATATATAATTTTAAGAGCACTCGGTCCATAAATCCAAATTCTAATTTTATTTGGTGAACAGTTCAGGCGCTGAAATTGTTTGTCCAAAAGGACAAACTCAAGCAAAATGACCAAAATGTCCTTATTTATATATATCATATAAATCATTCCAAAACCAAACAATCTCACACATACACTCTCTCTCTCTCTCCCCCTCTCCTGTGCCTCTCGCAAAGGCGCCGATGTCATCCCCTTCTCTACCACCACCACCACTGTCGCCGCCCTCTCTCTCTCTCCTCCTCTTCTCTTTACAAATCGATTAAGGCAACATCGCGACCCTTCGATGACGATGTTACGACTTCAACCTCCCCGTCGATGACTCCTCATCCACCGCAGTCACTCCTCATTTGTCGCCATCGACGACAATGCACCACAGCCTATTTACCACAACAATGGCAATTCCAACGTCGCCACCGTAGATCAAAGCATAGATCGAGCTAGGCAGATCATTTGATTCGAACTCAAAAGCTCAAAGATCTAAAACTGTGGAGATCACAAATCTGAAGTGGCCTTAGATCACAATATCTCTCTCTCTATATCTATCTCTTTTTCTCTCTAGCTTTATTTTTTAGATTCAATCACTGTTCTTCGATATAAATATATGCTTTCCAGATTTTTCAAAATTTTCATATTCGAACACAGTTCTTCAGATTTTTCACATGTGTGTGTGTGCGCGTGGGTGTATAAGAGAGATTTTTCATTTGAATAGTGTTGTTATGTTCTTAAATTGATCTATTGATGAGTTTGTTGCTATGTTCTCTCAATTTTTTGTTGTAAAATCGTTTTTGATTTTGATAAATTTTTTTTGTTTGAGTGAGCAATATGGATTATGTGTATGTAATAGGTAACAAAGAAGCCAAAGATGAGATACAGAAAAAGCAAGTGCGAAAAAGTAGAAGAACAGTGATTGTGAATGTTAATCCAATCAGTGTTCTTGAAACTCCATTCCCACTTTTGTATATGTTGTTTGTTATTGTAATGTGTGTATTACAAGAGACAGAAAGAGACAGATAAAGAAAAAAAAAGAAGAAGAAAGAGAGAGCAGTGGCTATGAATGTTTGAACAGATAAGAAAAAAATAAAAAATTAACAGATAAATAAGCTGACTAAGGTAGGTTATACCCCGATCTGTTCATTCAAAAAATTGAATAGATAAAAATAAATTTCAACATAAAAGAAAAATTAGCTCAATAATTTCAATGAATATGAAAAATTAGAGAGAAACCCACAGAATTTGAACAGATAGAGAGAGAAACTCACAAAATTTGAACAGATAAGGTAAAAAAATTGAACAGATAGAAAATAATTTAAACAAATAGTCAATGAAAAGTCAACAGATAAAAAAAGTCAACAAGGGTAAAATTAGAAACAAAATATATTCCAAAACTAACAAAATAATTTCTCATCAAACTATTTCACAGAAGGTATTCTCCTCACCAACAAAAAATATTCATTAAATCTAATGGCTTATACGCTCTTTAACTTGGACTTTTTAACAATTTTCTCGAATTTCAATATGTATCACTCAAACGTAACACTCCAATATAGCACTTTAAAAAAACTTCTTATTATATTTTCTTACAAACGTAACATTCCAATATAACACTAAAAAAAATCTTTGGTGCAATACTCTAATGTAACACAAAAAATTTCTTAGTGTATTTTTTTCAAACGTAATATTCTAACATAATACTCTAAAAAAAAGATGTGAGATTCTTCAAAACATTTCAAAAGGATGTAAAATTCTTCAAATCATTCCAAAAAGAGTACAAAAAAAAAGACTAAATAGTTCACAATATCACATTTTGAAATTAATAGCGTTTCACCCATAAATAAATGGGTTTGTGCATAGCTTTCACTTTTATATTTGTGAGGAAGTGGATTTCAAAAATACTCCTCGGATCTAGACAAGCCTGAAAGATCCTTGTAATGTCACCTAAAACAGATAAACAACTCTGATTGGTGGTGCCAAATTAACACTCCAACAGTCTAGTCAGTTCTATGTTTGAGTAGCTGATGTTTTTATATTTCTTGGAATCCAAGGTATTTACACATACTCTTTCCTTAGGTCCTTTCCTCTTTAATAGTCTCTTTTCTTCTCCCCCCTTGGTCCAACCTTCTTATCCTGCTTTTATGGAATGAGCCAGCATTTTGGTCCAACAAGACCCTTCCGATTATCTTGGACTACTCAACTTCGGCACATGGCCTGAATATCTCTAACTCGACTTCCCATGTGGGCCTCAATGCCTATTCGGCAATGATCCATAGCCCAATGGGCTTTGGCCTCATACGGCTCAATTGGCAGGTTCAGTTTGAAATTGAATATTTATATTCGGCTCCCACAATATTTAATTTATCTAAATTTATAATCCATAAATATGCAACCACAACAAAAGAGAGATGTATTTCTACTTTCGCACAAATTAAGGGATAAAAACTAATATTGAATGGAAATGCCATAAATTAAGTTGTTCAAAATTCCTCCAACATGAGTTCAGAAACTCCAAGTCACCTGAATCATACATTTCTTTTCTACCCCAAGCCATTGAGATGGTCATTATTACAACAAAACTATCACAAAAAAAGGTGCTGAACTCCATCAGAATTAATAAGACGGGAACAGGCTTACCATATGAAATATTTAAACACGGGTAACAGCCGCATGTATTGCATCTGCAAGGTGTGGGACCGTCTTGGTGCTCAGGCCAGCCATGCTAATCCTCCTGCAGGATTCAAATACGAGCTTGTTAAAAAAACATTCAGGGATGCATTTGCTTTCTATCACGAGAATGCATTCAGACGCCGTTCAATTGTTGAAACACAAGATGAAATTCGAGTATTCTAAAGCATTGTATGGATATGAAATTATTGTATTCACCAGCACTAGATATGATGTAAGAAATTTCCAGACAAGTCATTTAAAAACTCCATATACGCTCATATATTAACTTGCATGTGATTTTTTTTCCTTTTCTTTTTCAATATAATTAAGTCGTGGAATAAATCTTGCTACCCGTCAGATGTCATGTAGATATGGTACTCTTTGGTCATGAATACAACTTGCTCCGAGTTCAGCCCTGTGAAAGTAAACATCCCAATCTGTTTGATAATGTGACTCCAGTCACCAGGTGTACCTGCCGTGAAAGAAAAATACACATGTAAACATAAGAATTTCACAATCATAGAATCGAATGCAGATACTCATTTATGCCACCAAGAGTGATGACTTTGGTCAGGAATCAGAAGAGAGATCCAGGACACAGCAGTATTTTCTAATCACAAGTCAAAAGATCAAAACATGAGAGACTTTTGTTGTGTTTGGTTTGGTTTGGTTTTGAGAGATAAGGGAGAGAGTTTAGAAATTTTTTTGATTTGGTCGGTTGTATATTTTGGAAATAGTTTTGGAGTATGGGAGGTTGGGATGATTTGATATTTTGTTGTAGTTGAGTAGATGCTTGCAAGAGAAAAAGTGATTGAGAAGGAGAGAGGAGAGAGAAAAAGTGATTGATTGATGTGTATGAGAGAGTAATTTTAGAAAAAAATTTCCAAAATCACTAAAACCAAACAAAATTTTAAAAAAATGTCTCCAAAATTATTCTCTCAAAAACAAACCAAACAAGGCCTTTTAATTTGGATGGAATCCACTATTGCATTGGTTCAAGGACCTTCAAAGTCAACATAACATGAAGCTATTTTTTCTTAAGAGTTCTTCAGCATTCATGATAATTTCCTCTGAATATGATTCCCTGTAAAATGAGATCAGTATTCCCATTTAAAGATTGAACATAGAACTCTTCCCCGATTTCAGTGCAGATCTGCCCCAAGCTCTGAGAGAGTAGGTTACTTTTCCCAATTCTTTTATTTTTCTTTTTGTATTCTGAATCTTCAAGACAAAATTATCACAGAACCCTTTTCCCACTAAAATCTAAAAACAAAGCTTGAAATACCACCACTGAAACTAGAATAGAAAAGGTAATCTTACGCCCACAAAACCTATGGAAGGAAACTTTAGATTGGATTACCTCTAGCACGTAAAGCTTCAAACAGTTTGTGGCGCATGCTGATAATACGATCAGCCATTGCCTTCAACTCAATGGTCCATTCGTTGTACATATTGCTACAGGTAAAGCAAAGACAGACATAATTGACATAATTATAAAAAATAAAATAAAAATAATAATGATAAAGGAAATATGAAATCAGCAGAGAACCAGTCATTAAATGAGATATCTGCCATATGAGTTTTCTTTTGGATTTGGATAGAGTGTGAAAAGTATTAGGTCAGTTGTGTTTTTTGACATTGTACATGTCTGAGAACCACATCGATATCTGCCATATGAGTCTTCTTTTGGATTTGGACAGAGTGAGAAGTATTAGGTCAGTTATGTTTTCTGACATTGTACATGTCTGAGAAGCCACATCAAAAGATAGATTACCACCCTCAATGTGGTCCTATTAAATGTGTCTTTTCTTAATTAATAAAAAAGGAAGAAGACAATGAAAAAACAACTCGCATTCCAAACCTTTTAGTGTAAATAGTACCTGTCCTTGAGAATGGTAGCTACAATAGATGGACCATGAATGGGTGGGTTTGAAAACATGGGCCTGATCACAAGTTTCAACTGGCTCTCAACTCTGCTAGCAACATCAGCATTCTTGCAAACCTATAGAATGAAAATTTCGCTAGACATTACAATCATAGAATAAACATGAAGGTTAAGAAATCTATGACAAACAACCAAGAGAGTAAAGGATGGCAATGTTGCGTTAGAAAATAAAAAATCACACTAAATTATTTCAGTATTGCATCTCATCCAAGTCTAACAAAACTTTTACTAAGTTTAGCATAGGTCCTATTATGTGCCCTTATTCTGCGTCTGAAGCCACATTTGTATCCTTTAAAAAAGGATGGATTTGACAACTAAATAATAACAGATCAAAAGACAATTTCAATAAACCATTGCCTGACATTTTGAGCTCATTTTTTTGTTTCTTAGGCATATTTGAAGAAGCTATAATTGAGGTAAAGAGTGAAGTTTTTCAGATGATGGAAAATTGTGAGGAGATCCAATTTAAAAGGAAAAAAAAAAAAAAGGAAAAAGAAAATTTGATCATTTCTCTGGAAGGAGACACTAGCACTATATCCAGGCACATTAGTGTTGAATTTTAAGCATCATTCAGTTATGAAAGGAATATGGAACAAATTTTTAAAAAGCAGTATGAATTGCAGAATTATGAAAAAAAGTTTTCGAGAATTTGAAGTAATGAACATTGAGTTTCAGAAAGTATAAAGTTTCTTACAATGCTCAGGGCACCAACACGTTCCCCATAGAGCCCCATGTTCTTTGCATAGCTCTGAGCTACTAGGCATTCACCACCATCAGCAACAAACATGCGAACAGACTGTGCATCTGCGTCCAAACTTCCACTTGCAAAACCCTAGAATGTCAAAATTACATCAACCGAAGTCTTGAAGACAAAATCATACTGAACAAAGAATGATAACTACCCTTGTGAATACATTTTAGGCCCCACAGTATTATGGAACTCAAACTACTTCATGCATTCTGCAGTAGCCCACCTGATAGGCACTATCAAAGAAAGGTAACAAGCCCTTTGATCTCATCAACTTCCTGATCTGCTCCCACTGCTCAAGCGTTGGATCAACACCAGTTGGGTTATGAGCACATGCATGAAGAAGCACAATTGCTCCCGATGGAGCAGAACTGAGGTCATCTAACAAGCCTATTACCCCAAAAAAGAAATCATCATAACATGATAAGAAACAAATATACATCTACAAACAATAATAATATATGTATGTTTACAAATACACAACAAATACCCAAAGAGGGGAAACTCACATTCTCAGGTACAACACCCAAAAAAAACATATTCTAGTAAATCACCAACTGAAACTATTTATCAATTAAAGAAAAAAAAACATCGGATAAACTCAAGTATCAATGTCACCAAAGATATATGAGTAGCAATTAATCCCTTTTTTTCCTGGAACATTGGAGGGGGAGCGGTAGTCATACCTATGACCTCCTATTGAGGGACACAACTCTGGCCACTCCCTTTTATTCACCCAAAAAAACAAAAAAAAAAACTCTGGCCACTGGGCCAACTCTAATGGTCAGTAGCAATTAATCCTAGTTCTGACACAAAACAATAAATAGAGTCGCATCTAAACATGGTCAAACATGAAACTGCAATGTGCAAGCTAATACCAAAGAGATCACACCTATACATAGAGGGTTATACCGAACCTTGGAAATTGAGCCCACGTGTTGCTGGATCATAATAGCTATAAGTCTTCACAGATAACCCTCCTATAGTGAAAATTTTTGGGTGGTTTCCCCATGTTGGCTGGGGAATGTATATTGTGCGCTGCAACATAAAACAAGTTCGGTAGGTTCAAATAAATAATAATCCTCTATACAAAAAAGAGGAAAAATAAGATGAAGAAAATGAAAGAACCATTAACCTGGTGATAATGTTTTGCCAGAAACTCAGCTCCAACTCTCAATGAGCCAGTACCAGACAAGCACTGGACAGTAGTAACCCTGTTCTCTTGAATAGCAGGGCTATTTTCAACCCATCACAACAAGCAATATTGTCAAAGGAAAATATACATGATGCAGCAAGTACAAGAGAAGTAGACAAATAACTGAAAGAAAATACAGGTAGATTTGTAGGAACACTTCCAACAGCCAAACATTGAATCAACGTTCCAAAGAGAGTCTGAAGTCTATGCCACTGTGGCAAACAATTCACCACACTTATGAATTTAATCATATAACATCTTGATGCACTTCTTCATTTCATCAATACCGGCCACATCCTCTTCAATCTCTTCATCTTTGTGAATAATTGATTCAAGGTATTGGAAATTATCACTCATACATATCTCAGTCCATGAAGTTCTACTCTACCTTCATTCCTGTTTATATCCTGTTTAATAGAAATTCCATCCGATCCTAGAGGTTTAATTTTATAAGTTTTCAATACCACGATAATTTGCTCATCTTTGTTTTTATCTATTGAAACTAACATACTTTCCCTCCATTCATCAAGCATTCAAGAACTTGTTAAACAAATTAGTCAACCAAACTTCCCCTTCATCACCCAAACACATCCAAATATCAATAGGAAGTCCATCCAGTTCTCAGGTTTTCCTATTATCATCTTCCTCATAGCCTAGTTCACCTCTGCTGCTTGGATCTTATTAATAATTTAATATTACTACTAGATTTATAAGATCTCATAACCTCAAGTTTCCTATGTGGTTTCATTAAATAGCTTTTCAAACTAACTCCTCTCACATAAATACAAAGGGCAACCCAGGGCACGAAGCTCCCGCTAAATCGGAGTCTGTGGAGGGCATATAATGCATTTCCGTTACGCTTGCTGACAATATTTTCTATTGCCATTGTCTTTTTCAGTGGGCAATACATTATTCTCTATATGGTTTGCATATGGAAATCATTCTATGAAATGTTGTTTGCTTAGTAGTCTTTTATTGTACCATAATTTCTTTAAAAATATACAAATTGAAACAGATTTATGATCAACTTATTATAAAAACCAATCTCATATGCTATCACAACTTAATATGACATGTGATTAACAATATTACATCAGAGCATTGAATTTTGTACCTGTCAGCACCAAATATGAGCTTAGCACTCAGTTTATTGAAATCTGCCAGTCCAACAATGGGAAGATATTCCTTAACACGGGAGCTGCATATCATGCAAATTTAAGCTAAATCACCACTCATAAAAGTTCCTATCATGATTACAATGACATGATAAATCACCTGTCATTAACAAGGATCTGCTCTGCTTTTCTCACCACATTCAAAACAAGAGGTTTACCTTCCTGTTATGCGATGAATCCAACAGCCAAAAAAAAATTGCATTAGAATGAAAATTGCGTAGTGTGCAAACTATAAAGGCACACTAGCTCATATTCAGCTCCCAAGGAATTGTACTTCTTGCTTCGTAGATAACCATCACAATAAACAATCCATTTTAAATCACAATTTCATATCCCAAAATATTGTAAATGGCAAAGCCGTAAATATCACCAACACAATAGTATGGAGGAGCTGCACTCTTTGCTGTACAAGAGCGGCACTATACGGATGATAGCTGCACCTAAATACCATCATGTGGCATGATATGATGAGCGAAAAGCTAAAAAAACAATCTTCAAGGTGCTAAGCCCTGCATGCTCAAGATACGCAGAGTCCCTGAGCATGAGCATGAGCATGAGGGTATCTAGATACATGCACATTTCTAAAACAATGCAGCAAGATATTTATTTGCAGTGATGCCTTTAATTTTTCAAACATTCAATAAAATTCATATGACACAATCAAGAAACTCACCTCTGTTCTATAAGCACCAACACCCAAATTTAACTTTATTGGGCTGGGATCTTTATTATATGCCACAGTCACCTGTTCATTATAGATGATGTTAGCAAGCTATCAAGACAACCTGACAAAACTGAATCCAAGCAAAGATATGGTACAAAGAGATAATAGAGCAGTACCAAGATTTCAACACATGCCAATTTAAAATTCTTAATAGTTTAATAAATTAGTACAAAGAGATAATAGAGCAGTACCAAGATTTCAACACATGCCAATTTAAAATTCTTAATAGTTTAATAAATTAAAAATTAGTAATCTGTGTGTTCTTTAAGTAGGCTTTGTATCTCACGCCTATGGTAATGGCCAAGATCATGAGATGAAATAGAAGAGTCTGGATCTTTTTTAGAGTGATTTTTCCTAGAGTGATCATAAAGTTCGTTTTTGGATGACTGAGATTTAATTCTACAAAATTGAAGGTAGAATTCTAAAAGGTGGGTACTTTCCACTAAACTCGTTTCCTTTATGCTCTGTTTGGCTGCTCCCTAATTTGGATGTGACAAAAAAAAAAAACAAAAACAAAAACAAAAACCAAAACAAACAAACAAACAAATTTACAAACTTCCACCCGCCAGTCTTGCTCAATTGGAAGTTTTTCATTTTCGGGAAGCAAAATCCAAATTAAACTTCTCTTCATTTCATCAATTCGATGAGCAACAAAAACGATCTAAAGGCATACGCTGAGCCATAGTGATCCATGAAACAACAAAGTGCGCTTTTTTGTTTTCTCTAAAATCTGTAACCATAAATAAATAAATAAAAATTAAAAATGATCTAAACTTCTCTTCATTGCATTGATTTTGTTCTCTCTCTAAAGTCTGTAACCATCATGATCCATGAAACAACAACCAAAAAACTGAGCCACAACAAACATTAAAAACCGATCGCGATCCAGGAACCTCGAACAACACCAAAAATCATTAAGTTTAGAGAGAGAGAGTCGTAGCACAATAACTAATCGCAAAAATTGTAAGTTGATCCATAGCTTACGTATATATATATATATATATATATCAGGAATGAGAGAGAGAGAGAGAGAGAGAGAGAGAAATGACGATCAAACTCGAATCAACCCAACGAACTAACAAAATCGATTCGTCACTGATAAAAAAAAGAAGCACAAGGTTGAGGGAGAGAGGATTAAAACACGAATATACAAAAAAAAAGAAAAAAGAAAAAAAGATCAGAATCTGAAGAAATTAGAGAGGAAATTTGAGGATCAATAAAATTTGATTCACAAAGTGCATAAAAAAGACCAGAATTTGCATATCAACGCGAAAACGAAGAGAGAAACAGGAGAGAGAGAGAGAGAGAGAGAGAGAGTACCCCGAGAATTGGATCTTCAGGAGCGCGAACAACGTGAGCGAACACAGAGTTGGCATCGAAGCCCGAAGTCGGAGAAGCAGAGATCGAATCCATTTCTGAGGAAGAGGAGGAAGAAGAGGAGGAGGAGGGGTTGAGATGTCTGAGGAGAGAACTTAACCTCCGATCGGTCACTGAACTGTGGGCGCTGATGACTGACATCGATTCCCGTGGGTGCATTTTACCCAAGTATTGTGCGCTTTTTCGCGGTATCGAGGGTCGTTTTAGACCAGATCAAAAAAAAAAAAAAAAAAAAAAAAAAAGTCGTTTTAGACGGTGACGGTCTCTTTTTTCTTTATAATGCGGGAGAGTATTGGATGACGCCGTGGAGTCATGGAGAGGTAGTCTGTCTAGGGAGACGTGTCACGTGTATGAGGTGGGGCCCATATTAACTGATGATTATTGGGGTACACGTGGCGATTAGTGTTGTAGGTGTACAGAGAGATTGCTTGGCACGTAACTCGATGCAATAAGGTTATTGTTCGCGTCACCTGATCATAACCATCAATTTAATTCCAAGTAGAGAAATTATGGCAGGTTATTTATAAGTTATTTTTTAGATATTAAATTTTGTGTAATTTCTTATAGAATTTTAAATCTTATTTAAATAAGAATGTATCTTATAAGATCATATATAAACGTAACGTAACGTGACATTTACATAAACGTAATGTGACACCTATATAAACGTAACGTAACGTGATACCTACATAAACGTAACGTAACGTGTCACGTTACATTTCGCAAACTTAACGAGTTTTTATTTTTTTAAATTGAATGTGAAAATGTTACTGATTTATGTTGGTGTCATGTTACGTTTCATATAAATATGATCTATGGCAACATTCAATTTAATTTCACATTACGTTACATTACGTTACGTTTATGTGTAACGTAAATGTAGGTGTCACATTACGTTACATTTATATAGATATGATCTATGGTAACATGCACCAATATAAGAAATTGTATGTTATCATAGATCACAAGTGTCACGTTACGTTTATATAGGTGTCACGTTACGTATAAGTGTCACGTTACGTTACGTTACGTTTCGTTTATATAGATATAATTTATGGTAACATTCAATTTCCTATATATGGTTTTACTATTATTTATTATATTAACAATTAATATTGAGGGTAAATGTGTCAATAAATTTCTCACAGGACTTATGGGAACATAAGTTTTTTAGTATGACCATATGTAGCATAAGTCTCCCTAATAGGACTTATAAATAATTTTTCCAAAAAGTCCCTCTTTTTATACTCCAAGGTTTTATAAACTTGTATCAAATTGAGAATATAACAAATGTTTCACCAAACTAAAGATGTTTTGTGTCTTTCATCAAATCACTGCTCATTACCATTGTATTTTCACCACCGAATGTCCTCCCGGATGACCACATTAAAGAAAAATTTTGTAAAAAATTTACACTAGAAGGTCGACCCCCTGGATAACTCATTATCATTTTGGTCACTGATATTGTTCCTTGTCCTACTATGAAAATTTTACATTAGCCGGTCAACCAATGGTTTGATGAAAAGTCAAATCCTTCCGTTGGAACAGACGATATAAAAGAAATTTTTTTCTCAAATTTGATGAAAAAATTAATGCACCGTTGGAGATGCCCTTATGATTTATTGTGCTATTAGTTATGATTTACTATGATATTAATTATAACATTATTTTAGTTATAATTTAAGAGATTTCTACTTATACCTTAAGGTTTTGCTTGGGATAAACTATTTTAGCCCGCCTTTTTTTTTTTTTTTGATTATTTTAGTCTAGCTAAAGAAGTTTTATTTCGGATAAACTTTTGGTTTTTTTTTTTTAAATGTGATATTTGTGAGAGAAAAAGTAAAATGATTATGGTTTGAACGTAACATTTTATCTTATTTTGACTTTTTAATCTATTTTATCTTTTATGGGCTAAAGGTTGTTTTGGATATGACTTATAAGTTGATTTTTTTTACCTATTACGAAAAAACGTAAAGACAAATAGAAAAATAATGTAATCGAAATAAATCAATAAGCGAATAAATAATTTATTTATGTTATTACCAAAAGCCAAACAAAAGATGGTTATAATCAGTTTTTTTGTTAAAATTTGATTAAAAGCTAATTATAATCAGTTTTTTGTGAGAGAGTGAAGTGGGTTATAATCTGGGAAGTAGATTATAACCCACTTCCCAAAAGACCCCATATTGTTACAACAGCTCATAATTTTATTTTATTATTATTATTATTATTTTTTTGTAATTATGTTTCCATACAATTGAGTTATGATATTTATGATAATCAAATTCACAAATAATATAAAACTAAAAAATAATAATTCGTATCTACTGAATTAAGTGAGTGGATTTAAAATTTAAAAATTCTTTCAAAGCCAAATTTAAAGGGAGATTTGGTCAAAACCCCTTCATAATAAAATTTTAATACATTAAGGACAAATACAAATACAAAAAAAAAAAAAAATCTTAAAAAGTTCAACACATATCACTATTACAAAAATATTCTTAGTGAGTAATTTAGGCTCTATTTGGAACCGTTTTCAAACTAGTTTTCCACTTGTTAGTTTGAGTATGATGTTTGGATAGAGTTGTGGAATTAATTTTTCACAACTCTGCAAAAACCTCTGTGAAACAGAGCGCGATTTTCAATTTTTTTTTCGAAATTTGGCCTAATCGGTCGTCCGACTGGTTGACCGGAACAGTGATTTTTTTTTTTTTTTGCAATTGATGTGTTAATATTTATATATTCGAAAAAAATATTTTTTGAATTTTTTAAAATTTTTTATGTGCTTGAAAATAATTTTGAGTTATATGTTTGGCTATGAGTTGTAAATTTTTGTATCAAATATCAAATGTCACATCAACAATTCCCCACTCAATTCAAAACTCTTTTCAAAACTCTTTCACCAAACAAATTTTCCACACTCAAATCATAATTCCAAACCTCATAAACTCAAAATACAACTCATACTCTCAAATCATAGTTACAAAGCTTTACCAAACGCAACCTTAATATTTTAAATTTTAAAATAATATACCTTTTAATCTAGAAGTCGGTTTTTAATAAAATTAATATTTTTACATTCCTCTCATCAAGATATAATAAATTAAATTTGTAAAAAAAAAATAAATAAATAAAAATTACCGTTGAAATTGAAATAAACAGTAACATATTATTCTGTTTCACGGTAACATGTTACTAATTACTAGAGTAACACTTTACTATCTACTTAAACAAAATATCAGCAACAAAAAAAACAGAGTATGAACTGAAAGAAACTGTACAAGTTCTATCACTATAAATTCACAAATAAATCAACAACAATTCAAATCAACAAGAAGGATATATATACCATCAAGCATCGAAAATTGTCTTTTCTCGATGGACTTGTTATTGGAAATTAATTCATTAAGCTCTTCTTCAAGAGCATAAATATTATTCTCTTTTATTTCCAATTCAGATTGCAATTTTTTCATTGTAATTTCATACGTATTCATCAAGCTCTGTTGCTCTGGAATCTCAGCTAGTAACATCGTAACATAAGGCGGCAAAGAATCGATATGTTTATTCAAAGCTCTATTTCAATTCCAAAAGCAATTTCAATTAGTGGAGAGACAGAGAGAGAGAGAGTTGGGCGAGTTAGTGTTATTGAAGGACTAGAAGGGCAAGATTTGTCCCAAAAAAAATTTTAAAAAAATTGTTCTTGTGTTCTCCATCAAGTATGTGTTTCCAAGTGAGGGGGTTTATGAAATAAAAATTTATGAATTGTCATTTTCACCAAAGAATAGCCCAATGAAGGAGTTTTGATCAAATTTTTTACACATAAGCTTTTACTATAAAATGTAAAGCCTCAAATTGACCCCTTAGTTTATATGCATGTGAAAATAAATTAAATATGATGTTTGGGGAACAATATATATATAGCAACTTTTATAGTTTTTACATAATTATATTGATAGGTCGTTACACACACCAAAATTAAACACAAAACTACACCAAATTCTTTTAGAATAATGGCAAGTCTATGTATCAATCTACATGGACAATTGTGAAATTAAACTAATTTAATTGTTAAATTCCTAAATTAATTTTGATGAAAATATTGATTGTTCATAACCTAATTTAATAACAAATAAATTAAACTAAGTAATTAAATTATCAATTATAAATAAAATTGGATTTACTGATTTGAGGAAAAACCTAGGGCAAACAGTCCACTAGTCACGTAAATAGGGTTTCCAATTGAAATCAATTATGTTATGGTTCGAACGAGATAATGCTTTGTAACTACAAGTTCAAAGCATTTAATAAGAAAATCATCATGTTCAATGTATGAGCATGAACCATCTTAAGTAGTACGAATCGTTCACTCTAAACTAGGGTAGTGACACAACTCGTCCCTCGTAGTATGGTTGGTTTCATACCTTGAATGTGAAAGAATAAAAAACTCTTGTATGGAAAACATTCAACAATCACAGAAAGTCGAATATTTGAAGAAGTAATAGAAAATATATATATATAACTTCTAAAACACCATACAATTGTTCAAACCTTTACATAATTGAAAATCAAAAAGAAAAACCTAATTACATGGCTAGGGTTTCATCAAAACACTAGAAAAGAAGACTAGCCACTCATGGAGGAGTGAGAAGAAGAAGAAGATGAGGAAGAAGACCCCATGGAAGTATTCTTCAAGCTTTTTGGAGAAAATCACCTCTTGGAACCCTAGCCTCTCTTTCCTTGCAAAAACAATTTCAAAACCCTAATCCAGCCCTTTGCTTGCCTATTTATACTTCTGATGTCTTGCAAACAGGTTTAAAACATCGGGCCCGTTTTCCCAAAAAAGTCAACGCATGTGTAGAAAAGTCAACGCACGTGCGGGAATCTGTTTTCTCTCCGAATTCTGTCTTTTTGACCATTTTATGCTCCGACAATGTACAACCTGATTGACATTAAACACACATAAATTATACAGTTTGACAAGCAAGTAAAGTTAAGAGATCCTAATTAACAGCCTTAATGTTGCACAATTCGGCCTTAATCACATCCCCCAACTTACAACTTACTAGTCCTCAAGCAAGTAATAAAAATAAAATTAAATTAAACAAAATCTAGTTATTTCCTCTTTTGTTGGAAAACGGTTGCATTTAGCATATGCAACAAGTCTTTAAACCACAAAGTTACCCCAAGTGAACGAGTAAAGTCTCGTGAGGGTTTCCAGAAATGATA